TTTTGCTATGGAAAGCGTGATGCTCCCACGCCAAAATCAGTGGACGTCCTGGGGTCTCAGGGTTAGGTTTCTTGTGGAAGGTTTCTTGTGGACTGGCCTCGACTGTACCTCTTCCTCCTCTGACCTTCCGCTCCCCGGCGCGGCCCCCCCGGGTAGGGTTCACGTGTGGCTGTCCGAGAATGGAGTGAAGAGCTGAGGACACCTTGGGCCAGGGTTCTGTTGCTCCCATCGTACTTAAGGACCGCATCCCCCAACAAAATTCGAGCGCCCAGAACAGTATCGAAACAGTGTCGAACGAGTATCGCCTCCCAGAGTCCCACACGTGAAAACCGTCAAGTTTTGGTACTTTTTTGGTGCTCGAAATTCTTTCTGGTGGTCAAGGCTAAATTGTTGACGCTTCGCGTATCCCCACCAGCCCATCCAGAAACGATGCCCAGGGGAGTTGAGGTGATCAGGGAAGTCGGGGAGCATGCAGAATAACAAAGGGCGGGGGAAGTTGTCACGTACCCCAAGAGGGGGAGGATGGAGAAGGAATCCTCGTCGGAGGGGGAGGGGGAGGAAGAGGAGGATGAGGAGGCGGATAAGGAGGACGAGGAGGAGAAGGAGGAGCAGGAGAAGGAGTAGGAAGCATGACGAACATAAGAGCTTCTTAGGATGTCTCTTGGGAGTTGTTGTGGACATCTCTTGGAGCGTCTGGGGTAGGGATCTAGGGTGTCTCGGGGATTCTCTTGAAGCCTTTTGGGGGGTCTCTTGGAGGTATCTTGAATGCCTCGCGGAGCCTCTTGGGATATCTCTTGGGAGTTTTTTGGAGGCCTCTTGTGTCGTCTTGGGGGTCTCTTGGCGATCCTGGGGAGCTTTGGGCGTCTTGAGTGCGTCGGGGGGGCCTCTGGGGGCCGCTTGGGGCCCTCTTGGGGGCCTCTTGGGGGCCTCTTGGGGCCATCTTGGGGCCATCTTGGGGCCATCTTGGCGCCTCTTGGGGCCTCCTGGGCGCCTCTTGGGGCCATCTTGGAGGAGATCGATCAAAGAAGAGGGTGGGGTCAATTAGCACTGCCCCCCCAAGAGGCCCAAAATGGGGCCAAAACCCTAGTAAAACCGATGATTTTGGCTTCCTCGCCGAGGCCGTTTTGGACGCTCCAACTACCAGCGAAACCCCCCGTCCAGGTCCAGGGGAGGGGGTAGGGGGAGGGGTAAACCCCTCCCCAAGGGGGAAGAGGGAGGGGCGGAAGAGGATCTGTTCTAGACCACCTACGCCCAGAGGGCTGGTGGGATTTGGTTGGAACATCATAAGGCCAGGGACGCCTGTGGACACCTGGAAGGTGTCCAGAGGACGTCAAGAAGGGAGCTTTTCGCTCCGTTCGTGGCGTCCCGGGCTTCAAGGTGTCCAGTCTTGGACACCTTGTGAAGCTGGGACGCCTTCAGGGTGTCCAAGCAGGGAGCGAAGAGCCAGGAACACCTTCAATCGGCAGCGAGCGCGGGGGGAGGTGAGTATGAGAAGACCTTCTCAGAAGGCGGCGGGATTTCTCAGAAGCCCTCGCGCCTCCTGAGAAGCTGTTGTCTGTCCTCGGAGCAGGCTTAGACCATCCCTGGCCTGGGCGTTCGGTAGCAAACCATGGGAGCCTTGTGTACCCTGGTAATTCTGTCTTTAGCGTCGATTACCATTGTAATTCTGTCGTTAGCGTCGATTCGCGTCGATTAGCGTCTGGGAGTCGATGATCTAGCGCCGATTCAGCGTCGGCCAGCGTCGATGGAGCGTCGGGGAGCGTCGATCTAGCGTCGACCAGCACCGAGGCGCAAGCGCCGACGAGATGGCATGGCATGCCGCCCGTGAGCCGGAGGGTTCCAAAGGGGGTTTTCGGGGAGAGGGTTTTCCAGAGAGCCCCCCAGGGGCCTCAGAACCTCGTCAGAACAGGGGGTGCGAAGCCCCTGGGAGACCCCTCCTGGAAAACCCCCTCCCCCCAAACCCCCTTAACTGCCTCGTTGTCCCCCTCCTCCTTCTCCTTCTCCTTCTCCTCCTCCTCCTCCTCCTCCTCCTCCTTTTCCTCCTCCATCCCCTCCTCCTCCTCCTCCTCCTCCTCCTCCTCCTCGTCCTCCTCGTCGTCCTCCTCCTCCTCCTCCTCCTCCTCGTTCCTCGTTGTCCTCTCCTCCTCCTCCGTTCCATTCCCTCCTAGGTAACTCCTCCCTGTCGCACCACGAGATCGGTCGAAAGGGCTGGCCCGGGCCCAGGCCGCCCCTGGCAGCTCCCGGCGCGGCGAGTTCTGCCCCGCCACCGCGGCGGAGCTCTCCGGGCGGGCTCGACGCCGCTCCTCCGCCGGTCCCCCCCCCTTCCCCCGTCGGACGGCCGCGGGGCCGCGGCCTCCCCGGCCCGGCAGGGCCGCCCGCGATCCGATGCCATGCGATTTTCGACTCGCAGCTCAGGAAAGGCACTTGCGAGGTGCCCGCGGGCGCCTGGGTAAGTAAGGCACTTGTGCGGTGCCTGCGGGCAGCCCAGGTAAGGCACTTGGGAGGTGTCTGCGGGCAGCCCAGGAAAGGCACTTGGGAGGTGCCTGCGGGCGGCTCGGGAAAGGCACTTGCGAGGTGCCTGCGGCGGGCTCGCGAGATGCCGATTCCATGCGGTTCGGTTCGGTTCGCCAGCATCGGCCCTGGCCAGTCGGAGCCGCGCGCGGCGGTTCGATTCCGGGACGATCCGCCGGCGATGCGATCCGCTTCCGGTCCGATCCGGCTTTTCGCGACTCGGGCCAGCTCGGGGCTGCCAGGGCCCGAAGCGCGCGGCCAGGCCCCGACGACGCGCACGGACGAGGAACGCCTGGGCGTCTCGGGGTCGAGGTTGGCGAGGCGTTCTCGGGAGCTCTCGTCGGCTCTCGAGGGGTTTCCAGCCTCGGGGTGCTCTCCCGCGGCTGCGCCTCGCCGAGGGCGTCTGCGGGGGTGCCCGCACGGTCCCGCGCGGCCGCCTTTGACACCCGGGTGGGGACCCGAGGACCCCACCGGGGCGACCATCGAGCGGGCAGGTCTGCTCAGATCGGTGGGGCTCCTCCTCGCCACGGCTGGATTCCGGTCGACATTTTGCCCAGGACGCACGCCTGGGGAGGTCCCGTGGGCCAGCTTCGGCTTTCAGGGCGGCCCAGGATGCCTCCAAGCGGTCCCCAGAGAGCCCCAACGAGAGCCTCGAATCGGGGCCCGACGAAGGCCGCATCATCGATTCCTCTCTGGGGCGTTGATGAATGGTTTTCCCTTTCTCGCCTCCTCGGGCTTCTGCCAGCTCGAGACGGTCCGAGAAGCCTCCACGATGGGCCCTCAGAGAAGGCAGCATCCTTGATTTCTTCTGGGGTTTTGATGGATGATTTTCCCGTTCTTGCCTCGTCGGGCTTCCGTCAGCTCAAGACGCTCCGAGACGCCTCCACGATGGGCCCTCAGACGGCTCCCCAAAGGACCGCGCACGACTCCGGCGTTCGTTCGGCCAGGGGGGAAGGCTTCTTAGAAACACCCCTGCTTCTTAGAAGGCGCGGGCCTTTTCTGTAGATGTAGGGCCCGCGCCTTCTAAGAAGCAGTTTCCTTCTAAGGAGCCTTCCCCCTTCCCCTGCCCCCCTGTGCGCGCTGCCAGTTCGCTTTGCTTCGCTTCCTCGTCAGGCCGAGAGGGGGTGTTGCCAGAAGTGCCTCTGGCCCAAGGTGCCCCCAGGATTTCCAAGGAGGCCACCAAGGCCTCCAGAGCGCCCCTCACGAGGCCCACAGGGCCCCAGGGGATCCAAAATGGAGCACAAGGCTGGGGGTACCTTGGGCCAGGGGCACCTTCGTGTCGAGCGGGGCTAGGACGAGGATAACTCCGTTTCAGGGCCTTCCGGAACGCTCTCAGAGCGTCCAGGAACGCTCTGAGAAGGCCGACCTTTTCCAGAATCGCCGGACCTCAGAGATTCTCGATCTGTCCTCACCCGATGTTGTCCTCGTCGTGGCTTCGTCTTACCGTGCGCAGTCCCCGACGAGAGGGGGGGGGGGCGGTGGCGTGGGCCAGCCCCTCGGTGCCGCCATTGCAGGCCAGGGGGGGGGCTGGCTCGTGGTGGCTGCCCTGCTGGATTGCCGTCGCTGGTCTGCAGTTTGTCGCAGGTTGACAGACCTCCTGCCCGGACACGTCGACTAGCGAAGTGGCCGTTTTCGGTTCGCGGGAGGGCGTCGCGGTCGTCATTTTTGCGGGTCCAGGTCCTTCGGTTTCGGGCTTGGGCCGTTTTCACTATGGGGTGGTTTGCTAAATGGAGGTATTTGTCCATCAACGAATTCGGGTCAGCACTTCGGGTTTCTTATATGCGCGGGGGGGGTACCGCCCGCGACGGGGTTCAACCTCGCCTCGTCGTCGTGCCGCGACGGGGGTCGGAGCGCCTTCGGCGCGCGGTGGCTGCCCGCGACGGGGGTCGATGTGGGGCTGTCGGCGGGGGTGACGCCCCCCCCGACGATTATTGAGAAACTCGGAGTGCATGGGGCGGAGTTGGCCCCCCCTCCACGCACAGTCAGGACGCCGAAATCAGGGCCGCCTTTGGATCTCCACATGGAGCGCCGAGCCCGCGACCGCCGCACGTACAGTCAGGACGCCGAAATACGGGCCGTTTTGGGCTCAGGGGCGTCTCCCTGCTGCGGTTGCTCTCCCGGGTCGCCCACCTTGCGGGCAATTTCGGCGAGTGGGGTAATTATACATGACGAGATTGGTGAGCTTTCCCTGTGCATGGAGCCAGCGGCACTGGAGGATTTCGCATCGCCAGCCGCTGTTATTTCACCCCCTTTTTGCCATTGCACCTCTGACGTGCACTGCTTCTCCTCCTCGTCCTCCTCGTCCTCCTCCTCCTCCTCCTCCTCCTCCTTCTCCTCCTCCTCCCCCTCCTCCTGCTGCTGCTGCTGCTGCTCCTCCTCCTTCTCCTCCCCTTCCTCCTCATCCTCCTCCTCCTCCCCTCTCCTCCTCTCTCCTCCTCCTCCTCCTCCTCCTTCTCCTCCTCCTCCTCCCCCTCCTGCTGCTGCTGCTGCTCCTCCTCCTCCTCCTCCTCCTCCTCCTCCACTCCTTCCCCCCTCTCCTGTCAGAGGTGATCCCTTCGTGCCTTGGCTGGTCACCCTGGGGTGGCCCGGCGGCTGCCGGCTCCAGAAGTGGGCGCGCCTGACCTTCGGGTCTTGCGCGGGGCTTTGGGACCAGGCACGGGGACTCAAACGTCAGGAGGGGAAATAACACAGACACAATTTATCGTCCACTCCCAGGAAAATATGGTTCAAATCTTGGCAGTGTGGGGGGGGAAGAGAAACCCAGACCATACGGGAAAGTATGGAGATGTTGATGAATTTTCGTGTCCCTGGGCACCTTACAAAAGATTTCGATACCGCTCCTCTCCCGAAAAAAAAACAAGGCCTCGGAGGTCCGGGAGGCAGGTGTGGATCGAAAAGTGAGGTTTTGGGGATCCGTTGGCTTTCTTCGGGCCCTCTCCCCCGTGTGCATCCAGACCAGATTTTCAAAGGGAATCCAGCCGTGGTGACGAGGGCCTCCCAGGAGGTTCCTGGAGGCCCAACCGACAGAAGGGTAGAAGTAGCAGTACCTTCTCCTCCTCTGAAGGCCCTGATTTGATGCGACTCGATTCGCGAGCTGGGCTCTCGATTCCGATTCGATTCTACTCGATTGGCTCGAGTCGCTGGCATCGACCAGGGCCAGCCAGAGCTTGGCGCGGCCATCGACTTCGATTCGATCCGGGACGAACCGCTGGCGATCCGATCCGCTTCCGATCCGACCCGATTTCGCGATTCGGTGTGGCTCAGACCTGCCAGGCCTGCGATGCCAAAGGGGCGTCCGCGCTCTGCACGGGGAAGATGCTGCTGCATGCCCTCGACGAGTTCCTCCGGACCGCGGGCTGGCCCGCCGGCGCAGGCCGGATCCTGCTCGCGTTGGACCTGCACGGGTGCCTCGGGCAGTGCTACCCATCGGTCGTCGAAAGTAGGAATCTTCGGATGCCGAGATTCTAATCTATTGTATTAAGCGCCTTCCTGCTCCGGTGATCGAGTGGCTTCACCTTTTCCGTCCTCCTTGGGGGGCGGACGGAACCCAACCTGCTTTCAACGCCTTCCTACTTCGTCTTTCTACCTGCTTCTTCCGACCGATGGGTAACGGTGACAGCTCCGCCCGGCAGTTGAGACTCCAGGATCGAGGATCGAGGAGGTCTCCACTGGAGGGGTCGCCACTAATTAGAGGGGGTCCACCAGCTCCTCCCGGAAATCCCGAGGGCCTGGGGGTCACCACCGGGGGGTGGGTCGACGGCCCCTCGGGAGCGAGGCACGAGCGAAGCCGTTGGACGTTTTGGGGTCCTCTCGGAAGGGTCTGGAGTGCACTTTGGGGGCCCACTTCCTGGAGACGAAGGCGATTCCTCGATGCAGTGCACCCCCCCCCCCCTCAGTGGTGACGCCCCTCGGCATTGCCCCAGGTGCGGATTCGTCCAGAGGAGCGACCTCGAGTGGCTGGACAAGTGGGAGGCCGGCGGGGCACAGAAGCGGGTCGGACGGGGCCAGGACGAGGACACATCCGTTCCAGTGCGTCCTGGAACGCTCCGAGAAGGTCGCGGCGCCCGGGACATCCTCCAGAGCCGCTCGATGTTGCCCTCGTTCTGGCTCTCGTCTTGGCTGGCCTTACGTCGGGCACGTCCCCCTGCAGGAGGAATATTCAGAAATAGTCGAACATAGTCAGGGGACGATGATTCGACTATTTTTTTTTATTTGTTTTTTTCCTACCTAGGCACTGCCTAGAAGGGTTCTTACCCTGTGAGCTTAAAGGGGCCGGGCAGTGGAACACGCCCCGGGCGGTTCCCCCAGGATCCGCCCCGCGGTTCCCCCAGTTGCGCCCCCTGGGTTCACCCAGCTTAGCTTAGCTAAGCTTAGCTTAGCTTAGCTTATCTCATCTTAGCTTAGCTTGGCTTAGCTTTGCCTAGCCTAGCCTAGCTTAGCTTAGCTTAGCTTAGCTTAGCTTAGCTTAGCTTAGCTTATCTCATGTTAGCTTAGCTTAACTTAGGTTAGCTTAACTTACCTTAGCTTAGCTTGGCTTAGCGCAGCATAGCGCAGCGCAGCATTAACACAGCATATCATAGCATATTATAGCCAAGCGTAGCCAATCATATCATTGCATAGCACAGCACAGCACATCATAGCATAGCATAGCATAGCGCAGCACAGCATAGCATTGCTTAGCATAGCACAGCGCAGCATAGCATAGCATAACACAGCATAGTATATCATACCATAGCATAGTATATCATAGCATAGTGCAGCATAGCATAGCATAGCATAGCATGCCATAGCGCAGCATAGCATATCATAGCCTAGCCTAGCATAGCATAGCATAGCGCAGCATAGCATAGCATAGCAAGGGCAAAGGCACACGCAAAGGCAAGAGCAAACGCAAAGGCAATGCACAGCAAAAACAAAGCCAATGCGAAAGTGTAGATGTAGATGTAGATGTAGATGTAGGTGTAGGTGTAGATGTGGATGTAGGTGTAGATGTAGATGTAGATGTAGATGTAGGTGTAGATGGAGGTGTAGATGTAGATGTAGATGTGAGTCTCGCTGTTGAGGTTGATGTAGATGTAGATGCAGGTGTAGATGTAAGTGTAGCTGTCGGTGTAGATGTAGATGTTGCTTTCTTATGCTCCAACTTCTCGGTAGGGTCGCACTGGGATAATTTATTCCTATGTTGGATTTTGAGGAGGAGGAGGAAGAGGAGGAGGACGAGGAGGAGGAGGAGGAGGAGGAGGAGGAGGAGGAGGATGAGAGGCCTGAAGATTATCACCACCCTCGCCGAGATCGGGGGTGGTCCCCCCCCCCCGGACCGCCGACACCGGTGCTCGTGTCAACTTCTGGGCCTGCGAGAGGTGCCCCCCTGGTTCGATGCGGAGCCGGACCCCGCTGCCTGGTCCGAGCTGAGGCGCCTGCTGCTTCGGGAGCACGGCCATCCGCTCCGGGCCTGGCGGCTGTTCATGAGCAGAGACGATTCGGGGACCATATGCTGGCAGGAGTTTCGCCGTGCCTGCAAGACCGTGAATCCGCACGCGAACGCCGTCGGAGCGTGGCGCTACTTGGACCAAGACCAGTCAGGCGCGATCAGCCTGCGGGAGTTTGACGCGGACGTGGCCGACACGTTGCAGTCCTTCAAGGACTGGAGCGACCTCAACTTCGGCTCCGTCACGTCCGCGCTTCGTGCCGTCGACGCAGACGGCAACGGTTTCGTGACCTACTACGAGCTGCATAGAGAGTGCAGGCGGCTCAGGTGGCAGGGGAGCACTCGCGAGCTCTTCCGCTGCTTGGTGGCCATCGCGCCCAAGGTCGCCAAGGACGTCGGCCCCAGCGACGGGGATTGGGTCGGCCCTCAGGGTCGCAAGGCCGTCACGCTCAAGTCCCTGCGCTTCCTGGACAAGTGGCACGCCATCTCTCACGTGCAGCAGGCAGGCCGTCACAGGCTTGGCATCGCTCGGACGTGTGCATGTTTCCTTCTGCGAGGACCATCGAGGAGCATCCTTGATCATGGGGCGGAAAAAGCCACGCACGAGACCGAAAAAGGGCGCAGGGTATGGACGTCCCAGCGATGGCCGGCAGGCCGCTCAGCGACGTGGACGATCTGCCGCCTGCCTCGCCGGCGGCGGCGGCGCATCCCAGTGCCCCGGCGGAGGCACCGCCGCTCAAGGCGGCGGCGGGGCTGCGCCGTGCCACATCCGAGCCCGCGGCGGCAAGCCCAGCGCCGCCGGCGCCGCTGCGGAGGCACGCGCCGAGCCCCGGGAGCCAGGGGGCCCTGCCGACGGCGTCCGAGCGGCAGATGCGGGCCACGCTGCTGCTGCCCAAGGTCAGGTCGGGCCCGTCCCTCTGCAGGAGGCAGATTCAAGAATAGTCAAACAATCGTTTTGGGACTATTTTTTGAGCATTCTTTTTTGCCATTTCGGGGTATTTTTTGAGTACCTTGTATGTTTCGTCGAAAATCCTCCTGTAGGGGGACACGCCCGACTTCAGCCCAAGGGGGTGGCGAGCACGCGCAAACGGCGGCTGCGGCTGTGCTCCCTGCCGCCCGTGCGGGGCGTGTCCGCGGTGGCTGGTCCCACGGTCGTCTTGGTGGGGATGTGACGCTGGCCAGCCCGGACCGACCTCGGCGCGCCGGTCTTGTTCTCCTCCTCTCTCTGGGCGTGCCGTGAGCGCTCGTGTAACTGTTCAGGCCTGTGCGCGCAGGCCTACCGCAGTCGTAGTCATCTGTTGCGTTCGGATGGGGTTCCTCCAGGACACGGTGCACGGCGCGGAGGAGGCTTGTACGCCAGTTTTCCTCGGCGCGCTTGCATTATTCGGAATGGAGGGTTCAGGGATTCAGGAATGTCAAACAAGTTGGTCGAGTGATTGATTGCTGCCCTGAGTCAGCACGAGGAAGCCAGTTCTCTTACCAGAGTCGTCCTTTGAGGTTGATGGGGGGTGTCGCCTTGCGGGACTTGGCAATTCTATCTGACCAGGGGGTCAAGATGATAGTGCGGATGATTGTGGTGATGATGACGATAGTAGTGACGATGATGATAGTGACGGTGCCGATGAAGATATCAAGAATGTGTACAATCGTATAAGGTCCATTTGGAGATGACGTTAATGTTGATATTGTTGTGGTGGTAATGGTGATGCTGATGACGATGATAATGATGCTGATGCTGCTGATGCTGCTGATGCTGCTGCTGACGATGATGGTGATGATTATGATGCTGCTGCTGATGGTGATGATGATGATGGCCATGGCCATGGTCATGGTCATGGTCAGGGGCAGGGGCAGGGTCATGTCACGTCGCGTCAAGGCCATGGCCATGGTCATGGGCATGGGCATGGGCATGGTGATAATGATGATGGTGGTGGTGGTGGTGGTGGGGATGATGATGATGATGATGCTGCTGCTGCTGCTGATGATAATGATTCTGGTTGTGGTGGTGGTGCTGGTGGTTTTGGCGATGATGATGATGATGGTGGCTGCTGCTGCTGATGATGCTGATGCTGATGCTGATGATGATGATGTTGATGTTGATGCTGATTCTGATGCTGATGCTGCTGCTGCTGCTGATGATGATGATGATGATGATGTTGATGATGATGATGATGATGATGATGATGATGATGATGATGATGATGATGGTGATGATGATGATGATGATGATGATGATGATCAATACCTGGGTGCGCCAGAAGGTCTGAGGATAGCCCTGCGGCCCGACGCGCTGCCGCAGCCGAGCGTGCGACCGTGCCACCGAGAGTGCAGGCCAAGCTCGGCGAGCACACGACGGGCAGCGCCAACGGCACCAGAGGCTGCAGCCCACGCCGATGCCTTCGCGGCCAGCAGTGGCACGGGAGAGGCCGCCGAGGGCACAGGGTGCCCGCCGAAGGGGGCGTCGAGGCAGCAGGCTGCCCGAGCCAGGGGACGGGGTCCACCTCTGCACACCAAGAGCAGGGCAGTCAGCCCGCACAGCAGGGATGGGCAGCCTTCCCAAGGGTGCCCCCTGCAACCTTCCCCCTCGGCCCATCCTTGGCCGCTGTCGCGGGCCGCGCCCCGCCCGCAGGGTGTCGACATGGCCCTCCAAGGGCCTTGCCTCCTTATCGTGCATCCTTCTTATACGGGTCGACTGTGCATTTAAGTCGGGCATGTCCCTCTTCAGGGGAGATTTTCAAAACTGGTAAAAAAATCGTCAGCGGACGATTTTGTCAAACTGTTTTTGACCATTTTCGAGTATCGTTCAGAGTCGATTGTGTTTTTGACCATTTCCGAGTAGGTGTTTGTGTTTGTATTTCTAATTTCTTGACCATTTTCGAGTATGTGTTTGTATTTCTAACTCTTCGCTCAGACTCCGCCTGCAAGCGGACACGCCCGACCTGACCGTACTCACGGCGAGAGCAGCGCACGAGCGCGAGCGAGGCCAGCGTCGACCGCACACGAGGCGAGCGCTGACCTGCCCACGAGGCGCGCGCAGAGCCCGACAGCGAGCAGCCCCGCCGTCTCGGCGCCGCCCGTGCGGCGACCACGCCCCGGCCCTGCCGCACGCCGCGCGGCGCCCGCCGCGCCGCCGTGGCGTCCTCCTCCTCCCAGGCGCGCCCAGGCGCTCCCTGGATTCAGAGGAGGAAAAGGTACCCATACCTCTACCCTTCGCCCGTTCTCCCCTTTTGGGCCTCCTGGGAAGCCCTCGTCGCCACGTTGGATTCGCCTCGACATTCTGGTCAGAACGCACCCCGGGAGAGGTCCGGGGAGTAGCGGTATCGGTACCTTTTGGTTTCCCCATAGATGGGGTCCGACTAGATGGGGTCGGAGGATCGCGCCCTATCGCCGATGCATCAGCGATGCGGCTCGATGCGGATCCCGGTTTGCTCCACGTCGATGCCGCCGACGCATCGCCGACGGTCGTCAGAGCATCGCCGATGCATCGGCGATGCAGCGAGCTTCTCCGACCCCATCTACTCCGACCCCTTCTAGGAGAATCAACGTGTTGGTCTCACCACGTTGCCGCTCGTTGCCGCTTCCTTGCCGCCCACCGGTTTCGCCACGTTCCAGCCCGTTGTCGCCGCAGTGTCGGCCACCGAGATTGGGGGTGTCCGCCGCCCCGCGGGCTGCCGCGTCCAGGCCTCCCTGCGCGCGCGCGGGGCCCGTCGGCGACCGATGCCGCAGCCGTGCAGGTCGCTCTGTGGCCGCTCGGCGGCACCAGGGCTGTAGCCCAGCGGCCGGCCGTGGGCGACCTGCTGCAGGACGATGTTTTGAGAGTGTTTCTGTTTGCCCTCTGGGCCATAGCGCGCGTTATGCCCCCTACCCTCCCCCCCCCCTCTTCCCCCTCCCATCACGTAACGCTCCCCCCTCTCAGTGTGTCCCCGGCACTGCCGCAGTGCGTCCGGCACCACAGTCAGGGGGGGTGGGGCGCTACATTATGCTCCCCTCTCGTCCCCCCCCCGCCCCCCCCTCCCCTCCCATATCGCCCATTATGGCCGCCTCGTGGAGCCTTCTCTTCTGTTTGGGGTCTGGGACAGTCGTGCATCTCTTGTCAAGGCTCCAGCTGAGAGCTTCGCCGGAGCAGCAGAACAATACTCAGACAGTCGACGATGGCGATGGGGGAAGCGCCGCCCAAGCAGGTCCTGACCTCGCGGTAAGCTGCTTGCCGAGGCAAGCGCGCTGCCCCAATGTATCAACCTCTGCCTTCAAATTGCCTCGCCCGGGCTGCCAGGGCCCTCTTGTGTGGGGCAAAGATTCGGACCCCCCGTGATTTGCAATTCTTTGTTATCCTTTTCCAGATTCTGACTTTTTGTTTTGTTATGTTTCTTACATGTTTTTTTGTTTTTTTGATTTTTCTTCGTCTTCTTATCATCCGCGGTCCGATCGAGAAACCGCCGCTGAGGCCGACGCAGCTGCTCGCAGCCGAACGCCGACCGGGGGAGACCACCGCCCCCCGCACCACGAGCGCCAGTCCCGCGGGCAGGCTTGCCGAGGGCACCGTCGCTGAGGTCCACGCGCGGCTCGACGCTTAGGCCCTCGCGCCTCCACCGTCGTTCTGGACGCCCGAAATGGGTACGTTTAGGATTCGCTGTCCACGCCGCCGCGGCCTGTGTCCATTCGAGACAGAAGGCCGCCTGCCCAACAGCGGCCGCTGTCGGTTTGGGACAACATTTGTTGTTGGGCATTGTACCCATTCTTTCCGTACCCATCTCGGGCCTCCACCGTCGTCAGGAACCAGGGCGCCGCCCGCACGGAGCCCGCCCCAGGAGTCGCGATGAGCTTCGACCCCCCGCACTCGTCGAGGCTCCGCTGCCTGGAAGGTGCCCGAGCGAGGTCCGGGGAGCGGTCGCGGGAGGGGAGGGCCCCCTCCAGGAGCTGCGCGTGCCCACGCCCTCGACGAGGGCCAGGGCGCCGCTGACACGAGGTCCACCCCGAGGACTGCGATGATCGTCGGCCCCTTGTATCCATCGGCCGTTGAAAGTAGGTACTCCAGATTTCGTAATAAAGGGAGGGGGGTCTCATTTCGGGGGGGGGGTCTCTTCCAGGCTATCTTGGAGGGCCTGGGGGGTCTGGGGACGATGTTTTGGAGGGTTCTCCCACGGGGGAGGACTGAAATGGCTTGTCTTGGAGGGTCCAGACCCCCTCCCTTTTATTACGAAATCTGGAGTAGGTATTTTTGAATTCCCACATTCCCAATTCCACACCGATGTGTACCGGTCGAGGCCCTGGGAGAGTCTGCGGGCGAGGCTGACCTCCCTTTGAAGGGCTGGAGCTGCAGCGTGACGAGCGAAGCCCACAGGTCATCGCTGCGACTCCACGGGGTCGCCGTTGTCCACGCCGGCGTCGCGGTCGTCGAGGCTGTCGTCGGACCCGCTGGCCGACGGCACCTCGATGATGATGGGCGGCCGAGCGTGCCCCTCGTGCAGGCCGCCGTCGACGAGGCGAGGCTCGCCACCGCGGCCGCCGCTCGGGCCTCCCGCGCTGTCGTCGCTGCCGAAGCCATCGGCAAGGGCGCCTGCAGCTAGGTGCCGGCCGCGGCCCACGAGGCGCGCAGGCCACCCTCACAACGCCGAGCTGCCATGAGCCTGGAGCGCCAGCCGTGCCCACGGGGTCCAGGAGCACCGCACCGTCGGCGCAGCCCGCGAGCACGCAGGGCGAGCAAGGCAGGACGCCGGCGTCCAAGCGCGTGGTGTCGACACCCGCTGGCCGCTGGGAGGCCTTCGCCACCGCCCGCGACGCCGGATGGGCCTGGCGGACCACCGTGTGGCGCGCCCGCGCGCGGCGGCGACTAGCCAGGGTAGCGCGCGAAGGGCGACACAGCGGCTCCACCAGTGTCGTAGAAGTCCAGCGCGCAGCCGAGGACGCCGCCCCTGTGGCGCCGCGTCGGTGAGCGCGAGGGCGCCTGCGCAAAATGGGCAGGCTGGGGGCGCACTTGGCCGAGACCTACGCGAGGAACGTATTCCTCCGCCTAAACAGGTACGACGTATGAGCCCAAGTGGCCGTAGATGATGATAACACTGATGATGCTGATGATGGTGATGATGCTGATGATGATGGTGGTGATGGTGGTGGTGATGATGACGATGATGATACTGATGCTCATGCTGATGCTGATGCTCATGCTGATGCTGATGCTGATGCTGATGCTGGGGCTTGGTGATGGTGATAGTTATGGTGACGATGGTGGTGATCATGCCGACGACCACGACGACCACGACCACGACGACGACCACGACGACGACCACGTTATGAGTTGAATGATGATGATGCTGCAGCTGATGATGTCGATGATGCTGATGATGATGATGATGATGATGATGATGATGATGATGGATGATGATGGTGATGCAGATAA